CGGATTATTATTGTTAGCCTGGGTCTGCTTTCTCAGCCTGCTCGGAGACAAACGCAGTGAATCATTTTTTTTCTTTCCTGAGCTCGCGTCCTTAGACGTCTGTGGTTCCAGAGCATTCCTACACATTCCTCCATCCCTTCGTGCTCTGTCTTGCCAGTTTTCTCATGTTTTCTGAAATCTCTCCTTTTTGAGAGGAGATCTATATATACATAGGTTGCTTCCCATGAATCATTTTCCTCCTTTTTACATATCATATTCTGGCAGCCCTTCCCTCCATGTCACTGTAGATTCTTGTTTTCATTTTAGAACAACCGTTAGCCCTTTTTAAAGGCCCATTTCTGATTGAGCTAGCAATGAATGATTAATTACTCGGGGTGAGTCAGTGCGCTGGGCACTTCCATGTATCCGTAACTTGCGGAGAAATCCTGCATTCCTCTCCATTTTTACACATGAAAATACCACTGCTTTATGAGCTAGCTAGACTCGTAACAAGTACTCGAGCAGCTCTTCTACCAAACGCTTCTCTCTTGTCTGTGTCACAAATGGCTTCCCTCAGAACTACATGGGATTGCTCTCAAATTCACCTCACATTTAGAAACTGCCCCAGTTCCCTCCTGTAACCAGCTTGGAGATGTAATTGATCCAAAGTAGTAGATGAAACTCCATTTCATATCTGTGTTTTACTTACTGTTGGTCAATACTGCAGACAGATATTACTCTTGCCTTTGGTGAGACAGTTTGATGCATTTAAAAAATAGGTCTAGACTCACTTGCCAGTGGCACATAATGAGACTTCTCCGTGTTTCCGTCATTCCGTCTCCCAACTGCTCAGGCCTGCTTATCTTTTCCCTCCTGGCTTTGGTTCCTGGGCGTCCAGGCCAAGTTCGCTCAGCCACTCTTCTCTGGCTCCTGGACAGCAACCACTCAGCAGGAGACGCAGCAGCAGCCGGCATAGCAGCACAGGTTTGCTACTTGGATGGTGAGGGAGCCGCTGAGCGATCATCTCCAACATTCAGAACGCATGACTTAAAAACCAAATATGCATTCCAGGTGTCTTATGTCCAGAGAGGAAAAGGCATATTGGAGAGGTCGGGAAGCCCCAGCTATAAAGTTAGAGGGATGAGGACATTGATAGTCACACCGGGGCCATTTCACAATTGGAAAATTTGAGGCAGAGGAAAACTAAGGGATCTTGGAAAGGGAAAACTTCTTCAGCACCACAAAACCTTATTTCAAATTGGGAGGCCCATCGGGCCAGGAGGAGGATTATCGATGACGGGGAAGAAGTGTGGCTGTGCGTTCACCATGATTCCCCCTGAGTGGAGGTGAACAATGTGTAGGGCTGCTTTGTGGGGGTTTTGTGTCTGTCTGGTCACGACTAGCGGATAAACTTCCTGAGGGCCGGATAAATGTCATGCATGTCTCTTGCAGCAAGCAGAGTGCTCTGGAAGGAGCACATGCTCAGGAATATTAAGTGACTAGCAAATTGACTGACATAAAATTAAAAACTCACTTAGAATGAGAGATTGAGTACAGCACAGTTTAGGGGTATGCCCTGCTCAGTATTATAAAATGAAAGTCCCAGGCCTCTGGTTTGTTAGGGCACAGGCTACTGTATTACAGCAGAAAGATTCAAAATGTGGTGACATAAACAGGATTAAAGTTTCTTTCCTTATGTAACATTCCAGAGGACAGCAGGCTGGGGCTGGAGGCAGGCTGTAACTGCCATCAGCAGGAAGGAGGAAGAGAGCCAGGACTGTGACCCTGGGGTGGCACCTATCCTGCTCACAGCCGGTGGCTACAACTAGATCACGTGGCTGCAAGGGAGTCTGGGAAATGTAGTCTCCAGCTGAGGGGCTATGCCCAGGTACAATTTAGCAGTTGCATTATTAAAAATCGGGAGAATAAATATTGGTGGACAAGTAGCCTCTGATATATTCCCTAAGCTTAATTTTCTCTAAGAGCCTTTCCCTCCTTCCCCTCCCACCCTTCCCCTTCTTCCTTCCTTCCTATCTCTTCCTTCCCTCCCTCTCTCCCTCCTACCTCTTTCTCTCTCTTCTTCCTTGCTTCTCTTTTCCTCCCTTCTTCCCTCCCTCCTTCCTTCTCAATTTCCTCCCTCCTTCCCCCTGTCCTTGCAAAAGACATTAATTTAACCCTATTACTTACCAGATACTGTCCTGGAGTGAACCAAGATATTTAAATTCCAATTGAAGAGACAAACAATTAATGGGCCAATTGTTAGCCAAATTTTTTGTTCTGTCTAGGCTGAGTCTATTCCTGGCCTTCACTTGTTAGGCCCATAATAGTGCAGCTCTAAGTGGCATTTGCTTGGTGATCAGGGTGTGACTTGTGTTTTCCCCTGAGATTTCAGGGAACAGAGCAACTGTTGCTGAACACTGTTGACTAACCACCTGTAACCCTGTAGATGCTGACAGTATAGAGCCATACCCAGAATCTGAAGTCTCCTCTGGAGGCATATTAGAGCCAGAGTTGGAGTGAGATGATGAAATCTCCTGAGGGATATGGAGGAAAACCATATCCCAAACCAAAGAATTTTCTCCAGAGAACTGAAATAATCTTGGTTGATTGTTGGGAGAACGTGAAAATAGGAACAGCATTGTGCAAAATATTAAAGCTTAAGGAAAACAGCTGAATACATTGTGTTCAGTACTTAATCCTCTTTATTTTCATGGTGAGATTTTATCCACTTACAAATTAGTTTATGTGCCATTTCAGAAATATAAAATTGCTCTTTATTCAATGTATGATTCCCCAATATTTATTGTAGATGGGCCTGGCACTGTTGAGATTTATTTGTGGTAAAACAAAAGGAGCTTTAGATTTTGATTCAGCAGACTTAAGTATGAATCCTATTGTGAGCTTTTTTGGCCACAGGGTTAGTCTTTGAAAGGAGGATAATAGTAGCCCATTTAAAGGGGTTAAATGTGGTAAGTCTGAAAACACCCACTCTTCAGCATTGTACAGATGTTAGAGTTTATTATGTCTATTATTCTTATTTATTGTCAATTTACTTTTAAATAACTTTGAGTGGCCTGATATCAACTTGGGCACGTTGAAGCTCAAACACTAATTGTATAAAACTATAAAACGAGTTGTAATGGTTGGATCGTGGTTGTAAAAATCTCTGCCCAGGCTCCTTTTGATGTAACACAAATTGTCTAAAGTATTTGGATTGTTTTTAGGTTCTTCATGGTTTATTTTCTTTCTCAAGGTATAAGATTTTTGTAGCTGTTTCAGTAATAAAATACATTTTGTCATTGGAAAAATATTTCTGTCCAGTCATGGTGACAACAATAAAGAAGATTCCTGGCTAACAGTAACTATGTGTGACTTCTTCCTTTCCCCCTGATAAAAAGCCACCTTGTAGAAATCTTCTGTTTGGATGGCAGTGTTTTAAGTGAGATTAGCATGTTATCAAGGTTACTTACTTGGATCAGTTGCCTAGGGCATTATTATGTTATCTTCAGAATAATCCCAAAATGAAAGGAAATCATGGTCAATACAAATAGCCCTTCCTTTGAACTGTTATGACTGTTGCCCAGAGCTGGTGAGAGAGTACAAAGGGTCTGAAAGCCAGGAGGATGTCCCTGGATAGATGTGGGCTTGTCAAATGGCTAATCTCTGGTTTGTATGAGGTTTTTTATCTGTCAATGGGAAGCCCTCTGCTGGACTCCTGCCTCACAAGGCTGCTCTGTGCGGTGCTACGGGCCATTTAAGGGTGGAGGGTGCTTAAAACCACATGGTCTTGCTTTAGACAGTACCAGAGGAGTACAGTCCTCCATGGGCTGAAAGATACATATTTCAAACACTGAAATTGATAAAGAAGAGCTCCTTTTCAGCCCACACTTTCTAGGAAGTAATATAGAGTGAAAACCAATGATCCATATCCTGCCAGGTAGAAAGCTATGCTTTGGGAGCTAGATGAGGACTCTTCCTGCCACTAAAGTAGTGTTTATTACCCTATAGATTACCCAGTTTGTTTCCAAAGAGCTGACCCATTAAGTAAAATAAAACAAAGTCAGCGCTATTATCTTGTAAGTTGGTCTGTTCCGATGACAACAGACAATGATAAAGAGCAATTGCGATGTGCCATAACTGTTCTAGTCATTGTAAACATAGGACTGGGGTTTTCATGGGATTGCTAAATGAAGGAGTCATTCTCATTGCAGAGTCTGGACATTAAACCAATCCCACTTCTGTTGAATGCTACCAATTATAATTTAAACAGTTGGGATTTTTAATACTAAACTAATAGACGACCGGTGAAGATCTGCTGTGTTCTGAATTGCAGAATGGGGGAGGAAGGGGAGGATATCAGAGATAGAACTAGACTAGAGATCCATTCCTGCTGTGGCACTAGCCCAGTTGTTTGGAGGAGGAGGTTATGGGGATTTTGAGGGAGACATCATATTGAGCTTAGTTCTGTAGGCAAGGGTCAGACTACTCACAGTCCAGGTATTTGTTTCTGACCTGCTTGGTGAAGCAAAACCACTTGCTCTTAGTTCTGAGAAAACCAACCACTAAACTGAGAATCAGCCCTGGGTGAAACCAACTGGAAGTTGCACAGGGACTAGTGAAACTGACCTCATTTCTTGCTTCTCTGCTCCTTGGCTTGCCTGCACTGGGGTTTGCTCTGTTTCTCACCTTGGTAGAAGAGCAAATACCTCTGGCTTTGAGGTCACCTCACCCATAGCTTGACACGTTTGTACCTATTTTTTAAAAATACAGAGCACTTGTGATAAAATATAGGTAAGGGGCAGGGGTACCATGAATCCAAGGCTCACAAAACACAATTCCTAGTCCCTTTTGCCAATAAGTAAGAGCTTGTCCTTGCCACCTCCACTCTGACCCACAGAGAAGGTCAGATATGGAAGGTACTGTTAAACAACAAAATTCAACTGAGTAAATTTGAAGACATAATTGGCTTTATTAAATGATTCATGAGTCAGGCAGCATTCCATCTAACAAACAGAAAGAAGCTCCATCAAGCAGCAGAAAATGAAAGGTTTTTAAAAGTAGAGAGGGAGTAGAAAAAAGCAAATTATTAGCAAAGAATCCATTACTTTAGACAAGGTTACTCTCCTAAGGGGAAGAGAGGGGATCTATCAGTAAATTTCCTACCACTAACCAGGAGATTCCATGTTGACTGGTTAAAGGTTACATTCCCTTGAGTTGGGGGATGAAACTGCAGTTAGGTTAAATAGTAAGTCTTAGTTTACCGACATGGGGCCCTTAACATAAGTGACTCCATTTGGGACCTGTAGTTTTTAACAATTCCTCCCTTTTGATCACACTCTTTGCTTAACTGAGAGATGTGATCAAAATTTAAGGTCACATTTCAGTTACCACTCTCTAGTTTGCTCAGTCTTTGTGTGATATTCACAGGTCATGACATTTTTGCTTAATCTCTGATATTCACAGGTTACAACTTCAGGTTCACAATTTTTAAGTTGGTCATTCCTCTTTATTCCTTTTCTGATTTTCCACCATTAAGGAGACCATTTCTTGGTGGTTAGTGGCTGCAAACATGCATTTAAGGCTTTTGAGAGAATACAACATGACGGGATTATTATGGTTATTATATGCAGGATAATTCTCAATGTTTGGAGTGCATTGCAGAGCCATGGTCCCCAGAACCCAAACCAATCAAAATCAAATAAGTCAAAGGAAGACCTTGCTGAAGGAGTCACCTTTTAATGCTGAGTGGCTTGCTCATTGTGATCGTGATTGAATTTCAGCTTCCCAGAAGTGTTAATCCAGTACAGCAGGTGGTGTTGGCTGCAGTGTAGACACCTCCTTGCTTGGTTAAAAGATAACCAGGGCTGCTGTCCTATTATCAAGAATAACTTTGACCAGATAGTCTAAAGACCTTTCTTGAGCAGTTATTATCTTAGCCATAGATTCTGTGATACCTTCTATAGTTCAGGAGAGATTTCTGATCACATTTTTATTTATATGTATTCCTAATAAGGGAAGTGTGGTCCTGTCAAAGGAAGCAAATCCTAAGTCATGAATACCTCTAGATAATTCCTTTCTAACTCAGCAATGTCAATCCAGGGGAGTTGACCAGTGAGGTGTTACAGTTAGGGGCATAGTTAGATACCATAAGAAGCACTGTCCAGTTATGTGCCAGCCATCTAGGCATTCATAGGCCCAAGAAGAATAATAACCAACACAAAGAAAAACTTTGTTGGGGCACAAACTACTTTCACTAATGTGGCATGGTTAATGGACAGATAGGAGTTTTTGATGATAAATCCAGCAGTATGAAAGGCAAAGCAGTAGCCTGGGAGGTACAGGTGATGGGGTTATCTTTCCAGGTCAGTACGAGAGTAAAGGAAAGAAAGGGTTTCATGTTTAGTTAGAGTATAAAGTCTTTACTTGGTGCATTGGGAGGAAGCAATCTACCTCTATTTCAGCTATGTCTCTTCATCAATTTGATTCAGAGGTTTCCAGTATCTGTACAGGACCAGATATCAGGTGGAGCCTTCTTCAGTTGTGAATATATATCCAACATTTTAGTCCCTGAAATTTGGCGGCCAACTGGGTAGTAAGGAGGTCTTGGCATACTCGCTTCCAAGGAGATTCAAGGGCAGTCTTTGTTTTGACTGATTTCAAATCAGAGGGTGGGAGAAAAATTGGAAACACTAGTTTAGAGAATAGCCAGATTGCTGAGGAAACTATAATTCAGAATCTAGTCCAGTTGAGAGGTATATAATAAAACTTCAAATATGATGAATAGGGTTAGAGTCTAACACAGACAAAGGTATAAACATAGGTTCTTCTTTTTATAATTACCCTCATTTTTTAGAGTAAAACTAATTTGTTTGCATTAAACTTTGCCTGATTTTATGTATATAAGCATAGCAAGAATAGTGATTGAACATATAAGCTCTATTAAAGACTCCTTTGCTAGAACAAGTTACTAGGTTGATTTTTCCATCTCTCTCAGACCTGACAATCCAGTCAGTCAAAACCTTGGTAGTATAGCCAATATTTCCAACTGTGTCTTGTTACAAGGAGAATGGATTCTTACTGAACTTATGAAAGTGTCTGATTATTTTGCCCTGAAAAGAATACTCTAGGGTTTTGGATTTTTGAAGGGATGAGGTAGGGAGAAAATGTAGGTATTTCATCTCTGTTCAAAAGGATGTATCTTACCAAATTGTTAATAGTTTAAGAGAAAAGAGAAAAAGGTTTCCTAAAATCTGGAAAAGCAAAACATTAGAGAATAAATGATACTTTAAACAAGAAGTCACAGAAATTATAATCATCGTCCTCAGTTTATTTAGTCCCATGTTATTGATTCTTGTTCTGCTCGAATCCAGTTTTTCCACTAGTTCCAGAAATTCTTACCCAGTTTAGTTGTATGATCTGAAAGTTATCAGAAATATGTATTCTAGAGGACTCATCAGATTCCTTTCCATGAATTTCTCTGAAGGTGAAACACATTTGTAGGAAGCTTTTTTCCAGATATTGCCAGCTTGATCACACCTTAAAAACATTTGAGTAAAACAGTAACTGTCTGTAAATGAAGAAATGCTTTAAAATGACATGGTTAAAGGTCTGATTAGAGTTTATTACAATCCAATTGACAATGAAATTTGGTTATTACAACATTTTAGTAAAAAGATTGGAATCGACCAATAATGTTAGACCAGATATATCATATTTCCAGAAATTACACATGATTTCTGGAGAATTTGTAACGTATACCTACCTTATACAGCATAAAGAAGGTTTAGTGTTATTTTTTATTTGATATTGCTTCCCATGTAATTTAACATCAAATAAGCCAAATTAGTTTAACACTTCCCTTTTTATAAGGAGAGAGAACAAATCCTTTGAAATATTCCAGGGGCCACCTAGAAAATTTCAAAATCAGTTCAAGGTCAAAAAGACTTCATTTAGAATTTGATTTTTGTTAAACTTGTCAAAACATCAAAAGGTTTGGACACTTGTTCAAATAGGATTATAGGTCCCTGTAAAATAATACTTAGTTACCTACTTAATCAAAGTGACAATTAAAGACTTCACAGGTAAATATAGATGGTTACATAGTTCTGAGCAAACCTTAGCTCTTTTAATATGGAGAAGATTAGGTTTACTTAAGTAATCAAAGCCCTGATAAATACAAAACAGAATCTTTGTTTCTCTAGGCACATTACATTAAAGGTGTTTACAATTTCTTATTAAGAGCAAACCAATAATCTAAGAAAACTTTGTTTTTACAGAAAGAAAAGTCAAATTCTAATTTTGTACCAGTGTACTTTTGCTGTTAAAACTTATTTTTCAAAAAACTAATTTTAATCTGAGCCAGCATGACCACACATTCAAATTTCTTTTCAAAGATTCCCATTTCACAAACCTTCTACAACTTTCTATTTTTTTTACATTCAGATTTTGTTTTGTATTTTTCCTCTTTAAGTAATCAGCCTCACCTAGGATGAAATCACTTTCTTTTCCCACAATAAAAATGCATTTCCATTCCTCATACCTTTTTCTAGTGAAAGCACACATTCTATTTTTTTTTTTTTTAGTATACAGAGGTGTTTCCCTTATTGTTTTTAGTAGACTTAACTACATACACTAATCAGAATTTTTAATTCTTAGGAACATTAACTAAGTAAATAATTGTGAGCTGCCTTTTACATTAGCATTCTGTCAATTGACAGATCTGTAAATACTTCTTATGATTTCTAGAAATATGTGCTTTTTTTCATAGAAATTTTTCAGCATGGCATAAAACGTGTTTACTGACAGACCCAAACATCCTAAGTTTTTCTGTAACAAGAAGAAAAAAAACAGGTAAACTTAGACTTGTTTAGCAATTAGGTCTTAGTATTTTATCTTATTTGGAAATCATCTGCATATTCAATGAATTTTACTTAAACTCATTATTTCACTTACCACAACTTTAAAGTTTCAGGTTGCTAAAAGATTTGGGAAACTGTTTTTAAGTACACATACCATAAAGCATAATTTTTGCTAAAAAGTTCACCTACACATTTCAAACAATATGGCTTCTCTCTCACTTACCAACTTTACATCTCCCTGTATGGCCCCGGAAGATGACTGGTTAGCCAGAGACGGGTAAGATTCCTCAAGGGAGGAACAACCTAAGACAGGCACAGTCGCAGGGGGGCCATCAAGTGAGAAATTGGGGATCAACAGTGGTGACGCTTAGAACCTCAGCCCCCCTGTTTTGAGAGAAATCTTCTGCATCCGTGGATGGTTTATTGTCCTTGTCTAGCTTGGATTAACACATAGTCTACAGGCACACACCTGATCATCTACATTTGCCCTCTTACAACACTAAACTATGTTTTCTACCTTTATCTTGCATCTACCTACCACTTCACCATTTTATTAAAAATAAAAAAATAATAATAATAAAGGGAGAAATGTGGGATCCACATATAAATCAAGTATAAAAATCAAACGAATATTCATATTTGACCTGATTGTTTATAGTTCATAATGCGTGATCAAAACCGAAAGTTTCTGTGATGACTGCCCTTGTACTGTTCACCATGTAAGAACTTACTCACTATGTAAGAATTTGTTCTCCATGTAAGAACTTGTTCGTTACGCTTCAGAAGATTGGAGACTGTTGAGAATTAGGCTTGGGGTTGATTAATGATTGTGCATTGACCCCCCTATACAGAATTTTATTGTTGTTAACAACCATTTGATCAATAAATATGAGAGATACCCTCTCAAAAAAAAAAAAAGTTCACCTACACAGTCTTATCTCATTTTCATCTATCTAAATCATTTGCTCCTAGTGATTGATTATGTTTAGATTACTCTTGAAAACTTCGTGAGACAGTAGGCAAAATTAACTATCATTATGTTATTTTTTCTTGTTGACAAATTTTGTAAGAGAAATAACATGAACTTATTAGTAAACTAGGTAGAATAAAATACACTTAATGTTAATAACTCTAATGACATGTCTATTTTAATTAAACCAACAAACTTAAAGTAGCTTATTACTGAATCTCTTCCCAGATCATATGCATCTGAGAAGCATTTGGATTAATTTCTGTTACAGTTCTGAGATTTAGAAATACTTAATTTATAAGTTCTTATTTTTAAGCCAATTAAATAGAGCTCCTTACAAAGTAGTTTCAGCAACATCATCCAGAAGTAGAAAATGTCACACATCTACAATTGACACAAATAAACATATAAATATAGACCTTAGTGTTTAAGAATTTTAGCCATAAGACAGGATTGTTAATGCAAAACTCACTACTTAATAGAAGTTGAATCCAAACTGTGTTTCTGGCAAATGGAATAAATTAAGGTTACCTGCTCAGATGACTAAAGTTTTTCCTACTAATATTTACACAAGACATTTAAGGTTTCTCATTAGTCTAAATTTCAAATGGCCTTTCCCCTTTCATTCTACTTCAGATAAGAATTACTTCTCTGAGGTTTGCACTTCTAATATTTTCATCTTACAGGCAGAGGGAAATAATGCAGATTCCTCCAAGAAGGACTTTGGTTTCCTAAGGCCAATAATTTACAAGTCATTTGAAATAAATAAGGGAGGTTTTGGAATCATTAAAAAGAATAGGTGAACTTTGAATTGCTGCTGGTTGTTGTATTTCTAGTTTGGTAAACATTTGTAAAATAAGGACAGTTGCTTTTGAGTACCAAAAGAATTGGGCTGTAGTCTGGATGTTGAAGGACTGACATACCCATCTATATACCTGTGTTGGAACGTTTTTTATTTTTGTTTTAATTTTAGTTTTCCCTTGGCTGTGAAGGGAATAACCTAGTATTTGATCAAAAAATTCCCCAGAGTCTTATCAACTTTGAGAGGGTCTCATGGGGGCCTTCTTTTGACAATAAGTATGGAGTTGTCTGTAAGGTTATTAAGTTGTCAGACTTTTGTTTATGGTGATGTAACGACAATTCAGACAGGATAACTGGAAAGAGAATTCAAATAAAGGAGGATAGAGGTGAGACAGGGACGGTGGGTGTAGTCAGAGTAGGGTGAGGGCCTCCGGGAAAAGCAAGGCAGAATATTAAACAGTCAGAGCAATGTAACAATGGGCAAAGAAGTCCCCATTGAAACTCTGTGCTAAGCATTATGCAAAGTCAAGGTCACGCTAATTCTCTAGGGAAAGATACCAGACTAAGAATACAGACATCTTCAGTGAGATTAGTTAAAGGTCAAAAGGCCAGGAGCACCTTGGCCTGGAATGTTCGAGTGTTCTGCAAGGGTATCAGCATAACCCGTGACTCTGCTGTCAGCCCTGGCAATCAGACTACGACCCAGCCCACCTTGAGGACAGGGCAGGTGATGCAAGTCCACACCCCTAAGTTTTTTCATGTTCTCGAAAAATCTTCAACTGCCTATAAAACACCCTAGACAGGCTCTCTTGTCCCCTCCTGGCATGAGTCAGGAGCTCTATTCTCTCATTTTATTTCTAAATAAAAGCCTGTACTTTGCTCTCCTATCTGGAGTGTTTGTGAAGCTCATTCTTCGGCTTCGTGAACAAGAACCCCGGCATCAGAGGGAAGCAGTGAGAATTATGTCAATCATATAGTCTTGGGTATTAGGTACCTCTCTTGTCTTTTAAATTTCTTATCAGCTTTTTGGAAAGAAACTTTCAATGAAGTTATTTTTGGAATTTTGAAGCCTTTGTTTTTAAGTGTACTTCTTAAATGATCTTATCTAATTGGAACATTCTTTATAATGGCCATTGTAATTCTAGGCTGCAATTCCCCTGAAGGCTGGCATCAGCTCAGCAGAGACCTAGCCACAAATGGAATTTAACCTACATTTTTGTCTAGTCCTATATGACTGCAGACTTACATTTTTATCTAGCTTTATTTTGGGACCCCCTGACCTGATGGTTATTGAGCCAAAATAAGCTTATTAAAATTTGCTGTTTCTGCTAGATATCTGCAGCTTCTGGAACTGTAGTTTTTAGATATAAAATAAATAGGTGTGCTGGAAGGTGGTACACTGAACTCTGGATTTAAAGGACCCCATTTCTTTTAAGTAGGCCTTTGGGTTTCTCAGAGCCAAACTAATACCTAAGATGGACATGCTGTGAGGTTTGGGAATTATGAGATGTTACACACTGTACCTCACTGCATGGAAATTTTCTTGAGGTTGGGAGGTGACCTTGTATCAATCTAGCCTGTTCCATGACCTGCTTATCCTATCTGGGCATCTTCTGGAGGTGGCAAGAACTCTTAACAGCCTTTAAATGCTCAACCCATGCCCTGTGTACAGCTTTTTTTTTTTTTTAAACTGATTAAAGGCTACATTCCTGGGTGGTTAAAACTGTAGTTAGGTTAGGTATTAAGTCGTGGTTTTCTGATGTGAGCCCTTAGTATAAGTGACTCCATTTTGGACCGGTGGTTTTCTTTTTAACAGGACTTTGAGGATCATTTTTTTGCCCATTCTCCTCACTTTTAAATATGACAAAAGGGAGGTTCAGAAGTTAAACTGAGTTGCCAAGACCACAGCTGGTCAGTGGCTAAGCTGGTAAAAGAACTCAATTTCCCATGACTTCTGTGCAGACATCCTCTTGGAGCACATTCCCAGAAGGCAGTGTGAGTGGTGCCCCTGGAGTTGTTGGGCCTCCTGTCTCCTGCCCTTGTCAGGCCATGCCCCTGAGATTGTGGCATTTTCTCTTTTGTCCTTTTTAGGATTGTCACCTGTCACTGAGTCTGTTTTCTCAAATCCTCAAAATAAGAATCTCTCACAAATTTATAAGGTTGGCCTGATGTTCATGTGAATTAATGGGTGGAAAATTTCATTTGTAATTTTAAAGTAAATTGCTGGTATATAAGAGGTGATTATGTAAATATCTACTACATAACATCATCAACCCACTTTTCACTTTTTCTTTTGTCCTGGAGCACCTTAATCCCTAGCTTGGCCTTAATTAATTTCAGGTATATGATGAATATGTTAATGATGCCCTCATTCAGCCTTCAGCACTTCATTGCTCTATAATTCCTTGGACTGTAGTTGAATTTGTACTTTAAAGCTCAGCAGGGCTTTTGAGGGGAGGGTGTAATTTTACCACATTTTGAAAATCCCCATTCCTGCAAAAGACGAACCAAAGGATTGATCATTATTGTTGCAAATCAATTCCAGAGAACCATTAAGAGGAAGCTCTGCCAGTGGTTAGGGAACGGCTCAAATTACAGAATTCGAACATGCAACGTCCTAGGAATTCAACTATTGTTTAAAATCAGGAGAAATATGATTTCAGCCTAGTATCATGGAAAATTTTAGGAGTGACGAGGGTGAGTGGTAGTCCTTGGCTGAGGCAGGGGAAGAGTTTATAAGCAGCCTTAGTGTGATCTTTGACAACAGAAGAATTTTAAATCAAATCATGTAATGGGTTATTTTCCCAAGTCCAACCTTCTTCTTTGGTTCCTTCAAATTTCTTCTTGTCGTCTTTATGGGTGCGTGGAGTAGCTGGCTGCCTCTGCAGCTATCTGTTAGGATACTTACAGGCAAAAGCAAATAGAGAAATAAATAAACGTTCTTTTAAGAGACTCTTACAGAATGCTGCCCCAAATGTCTGCTGTCTTTGTTATTCTGCTCTGTGAGGATTTTCTCAGTCTTTGCATGTCTGGCTTGATGGATAATGTTTCCAATGTGGAGGAATATTTCAGATGGGAACAACAGTGACTTGGGTATTAGAGAAGCTTGAAGAATTCATTTTTCATACCTGCTACAATGTGTTAATGACTAAAGGTTACACAAAACATGAAGTATTTGAATCTCCTGATATGGAAAGTTAGTGGAAATGCTTCATGCCATTTTCCATTGCTATTGCAAGATCACATCTGTTTGGAACTGAACCGTAGCATGTGTGCTGGAGAACCTGTACGAAATTAACTTTTATAGCTGCCTTTACAAGCAGGATCTTTTATTGTCTACAACTTGGCTGGAATTCAGGAAGTTCCCCAAATGATTTATTGTCATATGTGCCTATTCTGTGGCGGCTGATGAAACTGATATATTATTGAACATATGCAGCCATTCTGGCTAGAGACAACAGATCATCTAAGCCTTTTATCCAAAAGGATCGAAGAATTCACATTGTGGAAAAGAAAAAAAGTTGGGTATTTTGTTTTAAGTGAAATAATTACTTGCAGGAGCAAAACATTTGTTACCAATCCTATAGTTCTTTTCTGTTTGCCGACATAGTAAAAACATATTAGAATCTAGAATACATTCTTTAACTAAATACTTAAGGTAATATTTCACCAATAAATGTTGGATCACATTCTTATAATATCTGGGACTGTTATTAGACCATGATATTAAGAATCAAAGATCATGATTTAAAATCCTTTCATGTTACTTAATGCAAAACTAAACAAAACAAAACAGAACAGTTCTCTTCTAATTTAACAGTTTCCCCTTTGGGCCAACCAGTTATCTTTTATATGGTTGCAAGAGGTATCTGGTGAAATGCTGGGGTGATAACAAAGGAGCCTCTCTTCACTAGTTGAAAACCTCAAGAGCATGTTTCTCCGTTGATAAATCAGAACTTCCATATGTGAAATACAGCATCATTAACCAATGAACAAGAACAGCATCACATTTAATTAAATTAAAAATGGGGAAGAAAAAGATTAAATATAATTCTGGAGTCTGCATTTATAGCATATAAAATATTTAATCCTCTGGCAGAATCTGGAGTTTCTGGATCTAGTGTGTACTTTCTCACCCAGATAGCTAATTGACAGATTCCTATTTCAGTGGAAATGGGTCGTCAAAGATCTGGGAGGTTTGGATGGGTTTGGAAGTGATGCTGCAAGACTCAGATCTTCTAAGACTGTGTCAACCAGTCAGATTTAGATCCATCTTTCTGGTTACAGTGTCAATTGAAAACATTTGCTTTAGAGTGTCAGTGGAAAAGAGGTAGACCAAAAAAACCTCTAAGTGTTATATAAACTTTGTCTACATAGTCATTTATAAGACAAAGGTGAGGGTAATTCCTCCAGATAGAATCAGAGAGAGTTGTTTTTTTTCTCCTGCTTTTGGAACAATGTAGACACTTACTTTTTGAAACAGAATTTGGAGGCTGGTTTGGGATTCTGCCTGGTATACACGAATTCTCTATTTCTGAAGCGCTTTTTCTTTAAAATGGAAGTGATCTATTTAGTTACCACCTCACCCATCTTTATGAGGAATTTAGGCACCAATAGATGTCATTATCTTTCTACAAGTAGAAAAATAGAAACTGAATTTAAAAGATTTAGCAGCATTGATTGCAAAACTATTTAGTCCCTAAAATGCTGGCATTATGTTTCTGTCTGTGAGCTGATCATGGAACCACAATGAGTCCTCATTGCATAAGAGCCTTAGTCATAGTCACAGCTTGCTTTCCCTTACCTTACTGTTCAGCTTGATGGGTTGAGAGCATTACATGTTAATAAACTTATTT